TTAGTAGTTATGTGGGCATCCAGATTGTTTTGTCTGCTTTCGCACTGTGCCAGTATTATCAAGTGTGTACCATTGCTGCAAGAGTGGCTCAGCCCCAGTCGCCTTCCTCTCTGCTCATCAAGGATTAATGTGAAATTTTTACTGAAAATTATACAAACATTAGTTTAAATAGTTCTACACCTTGTTAGAAGCAGCTTCTTTTGCTCTCATCCATGAAACACAAAATCAGTATTCCCAACCTATGTCACACAAGCACTGTATTTTACTTTTGCCCATCTTTTGTTCCCAGGTACAAACAAGAMTTCAGACATTCATTTCTAGCCTGCAACAGAAAACAAGTGAGATTGAGATTTTAGCAGTAAGTATTTGGCAGAAGCCTGAACTAATTCCGTTGTTGAAGTGGATGATGCAGTTCCTGTCTGGAACAAATTACTACCAATTGCCTTCAAACTTCTGCTTAAATGAGATCCCTGGCCTATTTCTCTAATACTTGAAAARTATCTCAAATTGTGTATGGGACAGTTGTATGGGATAAAATTTAAGAAATATTTGGCTGTAAACTCTAAAGCTGTAGTTACACAAACTACTGTGGTGMTGTAATAACTTGTTCCTACTAGATTTGCATTTCCATTGAAGCCAACATAGTTCTCGTTTGTGTGAGCTTTTAGACTTCATTGACCATGTCACAAAGGACTTTAAAATGGTATATGCTTTTCAAGAAACAYAACTGCCTACTTGCCTGCACCTTTGTGCAACTTTCTGTGATGCAATCTGTCATGAATAGTTTGAAATTATTAAAACCTTTCTTAGTTCCCAATTCTATCAGCATGAGTGCTTCTCTGGAAATCAGCAAGTCTGACTCCCTTCAATATAGCTGATCTCTAGCGGGCAAACTGATAACAGAGAACTGTTAACTATTGATTCCTTGGTATTTTTACAGGTTGATCTGCCAAAAGCAACTCTGATACACTTCTTATCATTAGAGGTAAGCAATTAAGTATTGTCATTAGAACTCTAATTGAACACAATAGATGATAAATTCTGTTAGCAATGAAGTGGACGGTAAAATTCACTCCTTGTAGATTTCTCTTKCAAGTTTGAATTAGGTTTTAAAACTTGAAAGGATTTTTTTACCCGGGGAGCCTGATTGAGGCTAGAAAAAACTTGCTGTCAAATGTCCAAGTTACACAAGACAACGTGAGCAAGTCCTAATTCAAAGCTCTAAGGTTTGTTCCTCCCCCCACCAGCTCCAGAATTGTTACCTATAATTAAATCTTCACTGCTCTTTTTTCCTGAACCAATAAGCATTAATAGTGGTTTCAACAAAAGTGTTTYTTAAAGATGTTGATGGAGAGCCCAAAATACAGAGGCAACTGTTTCAGTTGCAGTAGCTGAAAACATCCCTTAGTGAAGCCAAGATAAGAAGGGGATGTATAAGTATTACAATAACACCTTTAAMAATTTGGGAACTGGTCAGTGGTGGGTGGGAGATGTCAACAGGAAAGACAAAGCTTTCTTCTTTTCTCGAATGASACCACTAGCTTTAAATGCAGAAGCTCTTAAAAGAGAGATGGATGCCTCTCCACCCCCTAAAAAAACMCAAACTCAAGAATGGCATGCTATCTGGAACCTTTTATCTGCTGCTCTGAAATGGTGCTTGTCTGGTAGTGAAAACCCAGTAAAACATTTCAAGTCATTTTCAAAATATTTAGTTCAACCAGTCTGTGTAACTCATGGAGTTTAGCATTTTTAAAAAAATGCTTTTATTTWAAAAAAASGTTAARTACATATGCACACGATCAGCTTGCATCATTCGCTTCTGATCACCCTTGCATGATCATGACAGTTATTATATTCTCTCCAGCACTGCCAAAACAGAGCCCTTTTCATTGCTTATGCCTTTCTAGCACTGAAATGTGTTAAGAAACTGTTCACTAAATTCTTAGTATTTTTTTTAAATAAAAAAATTAWATCAAGTTGCTGACATTTGTAATCTTTGAAAGCTGTTTAAAGAGTATTGACAATACACAATATTTAGAAGACTGCACCTACTGGGAGAAGTATTTCCTTCACAAAAGAGTATGAGACTAGCATAGTTCCATGTCAATTTTTCTTTTTCTTAGCTTGACAGAGATAGACAGGCCTTTGATGCTACTGTGAGACAGCTGGTGTCACGATGGCCCAAACAGAGATGTTCATATTTACAAGCCATTTGTGATGAAATTTACAGTATCAAAATGGAAAAGAGGTAAAAATTTGTTACACTTTTATGGGTACATAAACTGCCTCCATTATTTCTGCATTCAAATTACTAGATAAGCTGCTCCTAATTTCTCTCCCTCTTTCCCCTCTTTCTGAAGCTAATAGAAATACTCAGGAAATGTGTATAGTTCCTTCAAAACTATAGGAAGAATTGACTGGTCACTGTCACTTACTGATAAAATGTAAATTCTTGACCATGTAAATTCTTCATTTTTYTAAGTCTTCTCAAGAAGCTCCACAATTTATTGCCACTTTTATCTCACTTGTTGCTGTATTAATAAAACTGAATAGCAGACAACTATGTACAGTCCTGCTATCCATAAAAGATATACTTCTGTACATGTAAATATACAATATATGTATGTATAATATACCTATACTGCTACATAAAAGCCCTCTTTTCTGATGAGAGGGACTCAGCTTGTCTGTTAAAACTCATGAGCACATTTAATTCCTCTTGCTTTTAAATAATATGATGCCAGTCAAGCACAGTTTGGGAGAGCGCCCAGTTTCATGCATGTAAAGCCCATTTCTGTGTTGTAAGCATAAAACCATTTATGTTCAACTCACAATCTCCTTGTTGGATACTGGCAAGTATGTCAAATTTTAAACCTCAAATTGTCAAATGTTGCATGTACTGGTATAGAGTGAGACCTAGGTATTTCTGCCCAATTACAGGTTTCATTTCTAGTACATTTTTAAACTTTTGTTCCACCTGAAGGTACTGCTTAACCCTTAAAGAAGATTAAAATTTTGGTTCCTTTTTCTTAGTTGGGCCAAAATTGCTTCAGGGTTGCTGTTTGCTAAGGCAGCTAACTATCGAGTGGAGCATTTATTTTCTTCATGGGGTTTACAAGACTGGGAGCAACAGAACCCAATTATTRCATATAAATAATATTCCATGCAATGTTGGGTATGAATGTAAAATAGTCCCTAACAGTCTTCCTATYCCATTTGAGGCCTGAGCATTACTTAGCTATAAGCCTTCAGATCACTGAAGTGAAAACTGAACAGGCAAGATGAATGGAAAAARGATGGGGGGAGAATTGCAGTCACAGCCAAAGACACTAAAACTTACTGATTTTCTACTCAGTCTTTACTATCTTGTGAGGATTTGTCACAAGAATTGTAGCATTTGAATCCACAGTTTGAAAATTTTAAAATTCTTTTTTTCCTTCYCTCTGCAGGGTTCCTGCACTTATCCTGTACAGTTACCAAGACGAATACAAGGTTTTGTTTTAGTACTTAAAGCATCTTTTATGGGATGCTTTTACAAATGAACAGCGTTTTGTCAAAAGGAATTTCAAGAAGCTGTAATAACACAAGACAGGCAACTAGTGCCTTTTTCTGTCCAGACTGAATTTCACGTATAATGTTGTCTTGGTTCTGGYCAGGACAGCGTTAATTTTTGCTGTAGCTGGGAGGGGGCATGGCCAGGACCCAGAGGTTGATCTGTAGCACCTCACATCATTGCTGGGGGCCTTCAAGGTCCCTTCCAGGTGGGCACAGCCCCGTGGCAGAGGGAGCAGTTGGGTAGTGTTGTTTCTGTGGGACTTGTTCACCTTTCCTGTACCCTCTGCCATTAGTATTGCTGTTACTGTTTTCTTATCATTGCTGTTTCCAGTAAATTGTTCTTACCTCAACCTGTGCTCTTCACCTTTTGTGCCTCCAATTCTCCTCTCCAGCCACCAGCGAGGGGAGGGGATAGTGAGTAGCACTACATGGTTTCTGTTGGAGCACTACAGAATGACATTCCTAAACTATGACAAATATAAAACTAAATTCTGTCAAAATGTGGGAGTAATTGTTTTATAGGCAATTAAGGAGCAAGTCTGACTATAGCCAGATACATATTACCATGCAATTCTTGCATGCTACAAAAATCAGCTGTACAGGTGTAAAGCTACTTTCAAAAAATAGTTTCAGAATGCCTTTTATGCAACAGTAGTACTGCAATGAGAAATGTCTAGAATTGAGAGAATGAATTACCTCTCACAGATAGTTTTAAACATTTTTGAGGTTTTATGTAATAAAAACTGCTGAGCCTTATTGAAATACTCATTACAAGCTTTTTGTGTGTTTTGTTTGGTTGGGTTTTTTTTAACCTACTGGTTTAGTTTATATATAAAATATGGCAGATTTTAGGCTGGGAGTTTACTCGCCTGCCTGGCTGCTTGCGCTTGTCCTGTCTGTACTTTTCCAATTAAATCGAACAGCAGCTTCTGTGAGATGAAGACCTGATACACAGAAACACTTGTTTCACACCTGCAGAACCTAAATCCAAGACTTTGGAAACAGTAAACTACCATGTGYTTGAGGCATAACCAAAGTTTTGACCTTCCTTTACCCAAGTTGTCAAATTAAGTTTGAAGTCAAAGTCATAGCAATGATGGGAATATTCTAATTACCTTCTTGAAGCTAAACTGTAACACAACCCCATCATGATGAATGAAGCTGAGAAACTAAGATGATTTACAGCAGCCATAGTTAGCTATACATTATATTTCACATAAAAACACTAGAATGAACATGCAGAAATATTAAGGATTTCTGGAAATACACTGGTGTTTACCCTCCTTCCCCACTTGRTACCTTCTGTTTAAATAACTTGCACCTCAATTCTAACTCATTTGAGTGCCATTGTACATTAATAAATACTTAAGTTTTTCTACTGTTTCTTGTAGCAAGGAGGGCAAAGTTAAAGACCAAGACAAGTCACATCAGTCATTACAACTAAATCTATTTCTCATAATGTTTAATAGAAGCAATTACATATTTGCTTTTTACATCTGGTCATATGAAGGAAGGAAAACTCAGATCCCTGTATATAGTGAAGGATAATAAACAAAAAAAAAAAAAAGTTTAAGTGACATGAGCATTTTTAAGCCATGTCTGAAGGGAACATGGTGAGAGCCCTATCCTCTCCCAACCCTGAGCCAGGATCAGAACAGCTGGATCAGCAAGGAGTGTAGGCTCTGCAAGAACTTGAGCACTTTGCTGGCTGCCTTACAGATATCTGCACTGCATCATGTAGACATGTCCCTCAGATTAAGACAGAAACAGGAAAGCAGCTGTTTCTGATAATATGTTGGCACCTGCTTTCCCCAGAACAACTGATGTTCATCTATAAAACTGGGCATCTGTCACCAAGACTCCTGCTCCAGTTTTATTTTACTTCTGGTACGGTGCATTTCTCTTCACCCTGTGCTACCCTCGAAATACGTTTTACACTGCAGAGAAAACAGCAGCAGTGTAAGTACAAACCAGCTGAGTGTAAAGTTCTTTCAATATAATGCTGTACATACTCCTGCCATACAACCATCCAAAGAAAGCACCCCTGTTCTCAGTGTAAACAAAAGTACTGATCACAACATCCCAGTATCCTGCTGGAAGGAAAGCCAAAGACAAGTGGTAACTCAAAAAGAAATGGACTTTGCTTTGAGCAAGGGTCAAGTCTATTATAGCGATGGTGATACACTGTTCCGTCACTGAGTTGCTTTACTCTTCTTGGCCTTGCTTTTCTTGTCTTTCTTCTTCAAGCCATCCATGTTGGCTCTTAGCAAATTTGAATATGCCTGAAAGAACAATTGAAACCATTAAAAAAAGCCCATATACTTAAATGACAGTATGCAAGARGCAACATTTTATATATTACTAATGGCTAATTATTTGCCTTTTCCCAGAGAATCATGTTCTTACACCCTAAACCAAGAAAATACTGTTTCTAAACCAATGCCTGAGGTTAGATAAAAWAAAAMAGGATTTTTWAAAAAACAGATTAAKATGGATGAGGAGTCTCTATTCATTTCTGTGGCAGTTCAGCACAGAATCAACCTGTTCACAGCTGTCCAATGCTTCCAACTGACCACTGCTACTACTTATAGGAAAGATAAAAGACATACAAAACTTACCATCTGGAATTTATTTACTTCCTTTGAACTCACCTACAAAAGTAATATTGGAGGTTAACCATAAAAAGTGGCTTCTATTACAGACCAAGTATCAATACACACTAACACACCAGTTACCATCTTTTTTTTAGCAGTAGTTGGATCAATTAATCATATTCAGTAGGCTGTACTGGTATGTCATAGGCCTTCACTGATTTAGAAAACTGAAAACACTCCTGAAAACCCTCTAGAGGCCATTCATCCCTAATTAATGCATTTTCAAATGGGAAGAATGTGAAGAAGCATTCAAAGAAAGGTTAGATTCACTTGTGGAACTGCAGTTGCAGCTCAGATTCTCAACTACTTCTCCAAGTAACATTTTTCCTTGTGTCACATTACAGAGCAGACSTAAGGTCACCTAAAGCCTTTCCCAATCCCCCATTCAAAGTAAACATCAGGTTTTCAACTTTAACATTTTCTCAAATTTCACATAAAATATGGAGCACTAAATGAAGAACACATAGAACCACTGATCTTTCAAACTTAAAGCTGTCACTTACCACTGTGCTAATTTTCTTCTTTCCATCAGTTGCTCTTAGGAGACACTTATTGTCTGCTGGTTCAAAACTTTCTACGTGGCCTTTGCGTGGGACTGGTTTTGTTCGACCATCATCTGTATTGAAGAAGAATTTTTATTCTTTATTTAGTAAGAATYTTTATTCTTTTAAAATCAACAGATGTCTTATGCTTTGAGATGTTAAACACTGCTCATGGAGATCTGAAAAACACCCTGGAATTTCAGGCCATCTGAACTAATATTGCTGAGAAATTGCTCACAGACCCCTCACTCTGTAACCCCAGAAGGATTTGTTCCATTAACTGTGTCTGCCAGAAAAAAAACCCTCACTCCAAGGTGCTGTATGCCCCACCTGCTTGAGCAGCAGCATGCTTTAAATGCACGTCACCCTGCTGCCTCGACAAGGGGCCCTCAGGTAGTGCCAGCTAGCCAGGAACCACAGCAATACGAACACAAAAGCAACACTACAACTCCTTTTACAGAAATCTAACGATTTTCCATTAATAACAATCAGAAAGTCCCAGTATTTCCTGGTCTGAAATACAGTCTTACTAAAAAATTAGTACTAGTAGTACTTAGTACTATTAGTCCTACAGCTGGCAGCTGGTAGTTCTAGCTGACTGACTTGTTCCTATGGCTGCTTTTGTTTTCTGACTCCCCAGATTACCAACCGTATCGCTTAAAATACTTGCTGACAACACTCAGTCAGATTTAGAGAAACACCTCTTTAATCCAAACAGACTCAAAGCTTACATTTCTTCAGCGTTATGAAAACACTCCCGGAAGTCCTGCACTTTTGGAAGAGCCTGGTAAGCTCCGTCAGGAACTGCAAGAGAAAGAGACCGAGCCGTGTTTGGGAGCCGCCACACGAGCGCCCAGCTCCAYTCGGGCTCTTTCCTTCCCGCGGGAGGCAGCGCCGAGAGAAGCCAACTCCYGGTTTTCCCCGTGCTGAAGCTGCAGGACACGAGGTCCCAGCCGGAGCGGCCCRGCCCGCGGTTCTGACTTCGAACACGAGTTCCGAGCCCCCCAGCCGGTCCCGCGGCCCCGGCGCTTCTGCCCCGCCGAGCCAGAGCCCCCGGACACAGCGGCGCTCGCTCCGCTCCGCTCCCCTCCCCCGCAGCGGCTCCCATGTCGCCGGGACCGGCGCAGGCCTGGTGTCACCGCGGGGCTTTGCGGGGCCCCCCTCTCTCCCTCTGTCCCTCACTCCCTCCGCGGCGGCACACGGGGCTGGTCCCCGTTCCCGATGGGCCGCAGCCCCGCACCTGCTCGCTCTCCAGCAGAACCATCCTGCTCCGCTCCGGAAGGGCCGCGACCGCATGCGCCGTGCGAGGGGAGCGCCACGTCAGCGGCGGGGATGGGCGGGCCCGGGGCAGCCCCGCCTGCTGCCGGGCGGGGAGGAGCGCCTCGCACCGGCCCCGCCCGCTGCTGAACCGGGAGGAGCGCCTCGCACCGGCCCCGCCCGCTGCCGGACCGGGAGGAGCGCCTCGCACCGGCCCCGCCCGCTGCCGGACCGGGAGGAGCGCCTCGCACCGGCCCCGCCCGCTGCCGGGCCGGGAGG